TTTGCATACATTACATAGCTGGGTTAGAATTATAAAGTTTATTCTAGAAACTTTTGAAGGGATAGAAGATATCATTGCTTAAATATCATATACCTATGAAAATGTTGGGAACAATAGGTAAAGCTGGATTAAGAAGAAAGAGAGAAAGAGCTGTGCAAAGTTGAGAGAAATTCATTTTTTAAAAATAGAATACACCCCTGTGCCAGGGTGTTTTTGTTTTTTTATTGTTTGTAGAGATAGGGGGTCCAGGCTGGTCAGGCTGGTCTTGAACTCCTGGCCTCGATCAGTTCGCCCACCTGACCTCCCAAAGTGCTGGGATTACAGGTGTAAGCCACAACACCCAGCCTGTTTAATTTTTTTAAGGGAACAAAACACAGTGAAAAAGAGTCTAGGGAAATACATTAACATAATAAAAGACATTGAAAGAATTATCATATGAGGATGGACAAAATAAACCATTAGGAGCTATGTGAGACTCAGAGAAAGAAATATATACGTATGAAATATAAAGTAGTAAGTTTTAAGATTTTTCCTTAAAATAACTTCCTGCAAACTCATATGGAGGATGAGATCTATTATTCAATAATTTGGTGGAGAACATATAAATTCAAGAGATAGTAAAGAATTAATATATAGACAGACTTAAGAGTTTAAATAAATTTTTGAATGCTCGATTAATAGAGGAATATTCCTAATTCCCTTAATGATTTAGCCTTCATCAATTTATTACTTTTTAAGGAAGATAGCCATGATCTCACTAAAATGCCCTTTGATGTTACATTTGGAAATAAATACTGGATTGGATTCCAGTTCTTTTGGTACAACAACCCATACAGTCTGTGTACTCAACAGTTTTAGGACAGCTCTAATGCAATATCAGAATAGGCAGTTAAATGAGAAAGTTGTGTAGGTCATATATTTGTCCCCACACATCCAGGCCTTATCCTATCTAGAATGCTCACCTTCACTTCATTCCATTTATATTTAGTTCTATAAATTTCCACTGATGACCATGTTTGTTCCTGCCTCAGGATATTTGCACTCCTCTATGCTTAAAACATTCTTCTTCCATGTGATTGGCTTCATCATTCAGGACTCAGCTCAATTGTCTCCTCTTCAGAGAGGCCTTCCTTGACAACCTTATTTAAATGTTGTCCTCAAACTTTTCAGTCCCTTGTTATCATTCTATTCTATCTTTTTTTCTTCAGATCACATATCGCTATCTGAAATTCTCATTTATTTACTTATTGTCTTTCCCCATGACAATATGAATGAAAGTTCCATGAAAACAGGGCATTCTCTGCCCTTCTCTGTGCTACACCTCTGGTTCTGAGAATTAGTAATAGGATGAAAGCATATTTGGTATGTATGTCTCCCAAAGCTAAGTTATGAATGTCTACTCCCCTCATTAAGAATACTTTGTTGTATCAATAAATATTTCTAAATAATAGCATTTTCAAAAGTAAATTCTATTTTATTGATGAATATAATTTATTTGAATACCCACTACTGTTGGACCATTTATGGGTTTTCCCCTTATTTTTATTTTTTGTTTTTGCTTTGTTTTATTTTTTGCTATTATTATCAGTTTTGCAGTAAGTATCATTATAGTTAAATCTGTACACATAACTAAGTTTTCCCTTATGGTAAATTGTAAAAGTATAATTTCTAGTTAAAGATCAGGCATGTTGTTTTTAAAAGCTTTTGATATATATTGCCAAATAGCTCTTCAGAAACCTATCACTGAGACCCCTACCAGCAGCATTGAAATTTGCCATATTACTAAACCTTTACAAGTTTTCTCTTTTAAAGTAATTGCTAATGAAATAGGTCAATATTTTCCTAACCACATAAAGCATTCCATAAATGACCCATATTTACGAATGCTTTACTACAGAGTATTCCATAAATTAAGACTCACACAACTTTAAAGATGTTGGTTAGTAGCTTGTTTGCTTGCAACATTTTTTGCTTGTATTATAGTTTTAGATGATGTCCAGTGAAGGAAAAAAAGGGGCCAGATGCAGTGGCTTATGCCTGTAATTCCAGCACTTTGGGAGGCAGAGGTAGGAGGATCGCTTAAGGCCAGGAGTTTGAGACCAGCCTAGGCAACATAACAAGACATCGTCTCTCCAAAAAAATATATTCAGGCATGGTGGGAGGATCTCTTGAGCCCAGAAGTTCAAGGCTGCATGCAGTAAGCTATGATTGGACCACTGCACTCCAGGCTTGGTAACAGAGCAAGACCTTGTCTCTAAAAAAAAAAAACAAAAACAAAAAAAAAACCGGAGAAGGAAACCAGTAATGATACCCTAGCATCAGTCTCCCTCATCCTAAAATACAACACTTGAGTGCAACTATTCATAAACTCACCCCTGTGATCTCTAAGTTGCAAGGAGATGAAAAGTAGATCCATTTTACAAAACTTTTAATAACCCCTTTTGTAAATAATGCATTATTTAAGTTATTAGGTTGAAGAAAAGTTCACTTCTTTAAATCAAATTCTCGTTAAAATATTTATCTACATATCACTTCCAGTTAGTATTTTATCGTGGTATCTTATTTGATTCACGTTATGTTCTTTATGGCCTTGATATTTAATCTATGAAAATTAAAATGCAAAAATCACAAGTTACAATTTTGTGAGTTATCTTTGACTTCCTAGGTAGGTAGTAAATTAGGTGTTTCTTTAGGAAAGTATATATTTAGGGTGAAAATTCCTATATAAAAGAAGCACTAGGTTATTCTGACTAAGAAACATGTTATTATTTTCAAAGCTTTAGTCTCAACTAAACTTTTAAGGTAGAACATGCCTTTTCTGATGGCAGCATACTATGAAAATCATATGCTGCATCTCTGTATTTATTTACCCAGAATCCATGGAACAAGAGATATGGGGAGCAAAGCATTTCATAGTTCAGAACCTTAAGATATTCCAGTTCACTATGTTTAATGGATGATGGTGGTGGTAGTGATAACAATGAGAAGGAAGAAAAAAATTGTTGGAGCTCTTTTTATGTGTCTTGCATTCTGCTTAGTGCTTTACTTATATTTTCTCACTTATTAAATTAGGAAACTAAGTCCCAAAAAGGTAAAACAACTCTCCCAAACTTACATGGATAGTCAGTAAAGCCAAATATGAAATGCAGATGAGCTGACTCTCAGTTCAGTCTACACTCCATTATGTAATGCTGGCTATATTAAAACTATTTTAGATATTTTCATCTCGAATGCCTTTTAATTTATAATTCCAAATATCATTTCTGTTGATGCTGTTAAGTATTTTTATAATACATGTTGAAGGGCTTTAACTTTATTTTATCTATTGTCTATGTCCCCTAATAATAATTGTTATAATTTCTACTTATTAAATTTTTACTTTAGACACATTGTCTCTAGTCTTTAGAATAAAAAAGAAAAATAAAGTATTCTGGTTTTATAAATGAGAAATCTAAGGCTCAAAGTAGAACAAATAATTATTCTGAAGTCAGTTAAGTAGCAGCAAAGCGGGGATTCAAGTCTGTGTCTCTTTGCCTCTAAAACTCTTGGTTGTATTCTATTGTTGCTTATTAAAGAACATTAAAATCAAACAAGCTTGAAAATGATCAGTTAAGTGTATTATAGAAACATACTCTGATCTCTCTGTCTCTCTCAAACACACACTTTCTCTCTGTGTATGCCTCATTTTTTATTAACACTAATGGAGGGATAAAATAGTACACTTTACTGTATTTTTTAAAAATTTCACATTGGGCCTTTTCTCTCTTAAATACTTGGACAAAATATACATACATTAATAAAATTAATATGCAGTCCTAGCCTTTAAGCAGATTTTACTCTAGGATAGAAATTTTTTTTCAGAAGGACCAAAATACTGAATTAGACATAAGAGTTTTCCTCAATAGATCAGTTTTCTGTAATAATTCTCATCCTTTAAATGATGTTTAAAGTTATCTCTGTTTCTTGATTTTTATTCTTTTTTATTACTTTATTTATGTGTTAAACGCATTGGAACCAAATAAAGCAGAAGCTATGACGTTCTAATACTGAGTCAAAAATTGATGATATGTAAATAAGTTTTCCCAGGTCTCCAAAACAGGCTGTTTCCTTTACATCCTCCCAAGTTTATGGGGGCCAGCTGGATGCCTACTTCCAGATTCTTCACCCGCTACTCTATTTCCTACTACACCCCAGTAATAGGGGAAAAATCCAGCATCCTTTTTTTAATTACACCCATTTGCAGCATTAGTCTTGCAGTAAATTGTCAATCAGCACATATGCTTCAGTGAATCATTGATTGCTTTCTGATCATATTATCTAGAAGATAATGATTTTTCTTTCTTTCAAATGCATGTAAAAGGAAAATCTTTTTTCTTTTTTTGAATATATACATATCAATAATTACGAACCTAAGTAAAGTGAAATAAATTTTTCAATTCAAAGCTAATGAAAATATCAAGCCCTGTTAGAAAATTTAACCATTTTAGGCAAACTTTATTAGGTTTTTTAAAAAATGAGAAAACTTATTTTAAAGGGCCACTCTTAACAATGGATACAACTTTTTTTTTTTTGCCATTTTTTATAACATTTTTTCACTTGTCAAATTTCTTTTTGAAGGCAACAGTAAAGTAAATTAAAGAGTAATCTTTTGGAAACTTCTCTTTTATGTTGAATAGCTACCTAAAAGCATATATGCACTTGCAGGACAGCATATTCTCTTAAATGAGTCCACTGATTTTTTTATGCATTTTTTTCCTGTCATCATACAAACTGGTGCCTTCTTTGATAGCAGAAATTAAATCATTAAGTCTGATTTTGCAGCGTTGCATTAAGGTTGGCCCTGAATAGTAAGCACATTCATGGTATTTGAAAATTTTTATCCTAATTATGTTCTATAGATTATATAATTTAGTTATACTCCAGATGTTTCATCTAAAATACCTTTTCTGTCTTTTCCTTTTTCCTCTTGTCCTCACTTTTAATGATTCATCGGCCGACAGTGTCTTTACATCCAAAATGCAAAGCAGACAAGTGAGCATGTCAGGCAAGAACATGACCAAAAGCACCAGCATCAGTGGAGACATGTGCTCGCTGGAGAAGAATGATGGCAGCCAGTCTGACACGGCAGTGGGTGCCTTGGGCACCAGTGGCAAAAAGCGGCGTTCTAGCATTGGGGCCAAAATGGTAGCTATTGTTGGTCTCTCACGGAAAAGTCGCAGCGCTTCTCAGCTCAGCCAAACGGGTAGGAATTTTTATGTTACATTTGACTTCGTATTTGAGTTGTCATTACAATATTATATTCTTTTCTCTTATTCATTTTATTGCAGTAATGTGTAGGTGATGACATGTTCCAGAAGGAAATGGGCATTTTAAACTAGTTAAGTTTTCTGAAAACATAACAATGACTTTTTTTCAGTGATCAATGAGCCTGCTTCAAAGTGAACCATGGCCACTGTTTTTGAAATGTATATAATGTCGTTCCTCCTCAGGGAAGAGTTAAGCTTGGTACCCCTGATTACCAGCTGCTGATCCTTTGTAAGGTACTATATGATATGTGAAATATTTGCTTGTCTTTATGTTCCTCAAGTTGGAACCAGCCAAATTAATTTTCATTCCCAGCAAGTTGCCACGAAGATAATGCCTCATATTTTGTGTGAATAATATAGTTCTTGTATTGCTGACAACCTAACTTCCTTTTCAGTTTGTAAGCAACATTTACCAGCAGTATCAATTTTCTCACTGAAGTTTTTATTTTCCTGTTAAAACTTCAAACAGCAATATTCTCCAGCAGCAGGGATGGAGGAATTTCCTGCTGACAGTGAAGATATTCAAGCTTTGCTACTTTAAAATTCAGTTTCTAATTCACATCTGCAAAAATAAATTAGATACAACACTCCTACTCAGAAAAGCCACTGTTAGCAATTAAGAAATTTGTGAGTCAAAGCAATGTCTTTTTTTTCAAATGGGTGTTGATAATTAAACATTAAATCCTTGGTATCTTGGAAATAATAGCGTATCTTCTACTTAACAAACAAAAGCATGTAATATAGTGTTTCTTTTATAGCAAAATAAGTTATAGGCAACTAAATTAAGTCTAATTTATGTTTGAATAGTAGGATTCTTGTGCACAGAAGTCAGTACATAAATCTATAGCACAAAAGAAATTAAGGTTACATTAAGTCTTGGACCCGGCTACTTTTGATTTTACAAACCATAAAAGTGATCCTGGAAATTGAACCTTATGTAAAAATATTATATTGAAATAGTTATTTGATGATGTCCCTTATATTGTTATTGTAATTCAACTATATTTAATGTGATTTTTGTTATAGAAAATTTTCATTTGGTGTTTTAAAATTTTGTATTTTAATGTAGAAATAGAAGTTTAATTTATGGACAATGAGCATACAGATTATATTTAAATAATTTTGAAAATGGCTAATATTTATATCTAACTACTTTATGCTAATACGATAAATGTTAGCCTTTTGAAATTGAGTAGTTTTTATATGTTTCTAACAGAATTTTATTTATTGCATTTTTCTCCTTAATACTTAACAAACATCTATAAATCTAACATTGGTCTACAAATAAACTCTGTTAATTTTTTAGAAATTAAGACTACAAGTTAGAGAGCAGGTGATGTTAAACTAAATAATAACTTCATTCAGGAATATTTTGATAAATATTGAATACTTACTATGTGCCAGACACATAGAGAACAAAGATGAGTAAAAAATAATTTATTACCCAAGTAGCTTACAATCTAGTAGGAGACAGATGCTTAAACAGATTGCTTCAAGGCCATATGCCAGTGGCTAAACTAGGATTACATAGAAGGTATACCAGATACTCAGAAGAAGGTTATTTGACCCAACCTGGAATTCCAGGAGTGAATTCCTGAGGATGATACCTCATGTGAGGTATCATCTCAATGACTAGGGTGACTGCTAATTAGGTAAAAGTCAATTAGAAAGGTATTCCAGATAGAGACCATAATGAACAAGGCATAGAGGCATAGTATGTACAGGAATAATAAAATATTGGATGGCATGGCTAGAGATTGAGGCTGATAGGTAAGTAGGGATAAGGTCAAGGAGAGCCCTGTAGATCAGGTTTATAGGTGATAGGAAGTTTTAGAAGGTTTTCAGTAAAGGATTGATATTTTTGCATACAAACTACATATTCATAGTTTTTAGGCTATTTGGGATGCCACTTGTTTATGTGACAAATAGTTTTTGAGCATCTACCATATGCCAGGAACTATCCTAAAGAAAATATGAGAAAACAGAAATTGTTTTCCTCTTGGGATTTGTATTCTAGTGGGACTACAATAAAGAAGTAAACCACATCATGGAAAGAGCATTTTAGGATGACTTAGCAGACTACACAATAATTCAGACAGATAAGCTCCTGAACTAAGTCAGTTGGAATGGAGACAGAGATGGGGTAATAGATTCAGGAAATTTTTAAAGAGCAATACTAGTAGTCAGTCACCTAACTTAGTGACTAGTTGGCTATGAGGAGGTAAAGGAGAGAAGATTCTAAGATGAATCCCATATTTCTGACTTGCATCACTGGGTGGATGGTAGTGCCATTAATGGACATTGGAAGTAAAAGAGCAGAAGTAGGTTGGGGGAAAAGGGAGAGGGATATTTGATTTAGGACATTTTGAATTTGTGAGATCTATGGAAATTTCTATGTGGAAACATCTAGAACATATTTAAAAAAAAAAAAAACTTCTGTAGCTAGTGTCAGACCCAGGGACATAAATCTGAGAGTTATAATGTTGTACTTAAAACCACAAATGTGGCTGAAATTGCCAAAGAATATCACTACAGATAAAAGAATACTGGACCAAGAAAGTTCCCTGTGAAAGATTAACATTTTGGAATTGAGCAGAAGAAGAGGAATCCAAGAAGAAGACCAAGAAGAAATGATCATGAAGAAAGGACCAAAACTATGAAAGGATAGTGTTACAGAAGCTAAGAGTATAGAAGAATTCAAAAAGAGAATGGTCACTATTTCTCAATGATCAATTTCGTGTCTTTACAGTTTCGACACATATATCCCATATATCTTTCTTTGACAACATTTTTATTACGTAATTATAGATCTGTTAACTATACAATAAGATTCTGTAATAACACTGATTTGGTTTTCAAGTATGATTAGTATAGATTTTTATCTTCAAAAACATTTTGATGTTGGCAGATTTAAGAAATGCAGTCTTGTTCCTGGCTATATTATTACTCCCCTCCTATGTGTTGTATAGTAGAAAATAAAGCCTCTTTGTTGTTTTCATTACTATTCAGTGGCATCATAATGGTTAAAACTTCAATTTTTCTTAAAATGTGCAGCAATTCCTGCCTACTCATCAATAGCTTTGGCCTATTGGCAATAGAGTGCAGATTATTTCTCATTTTAAAACCTGGGTTTAATTGTAGCACAGCCAACAGAGATTTTTTTACAGTTACTAGACTTCAAACTTTCAATGGGTTTCTAAATTCTATATTTGTGTGTATATGTGTATGTGTTTCAGGTAAGGTTGTGATGTTTTAAGAAAAAATGTAATCACAAGCTCCAATGGTATTTAAAACTGAAATCTTCAAATTTAAGTATTTGATCAGTAATCAATTTAGATATTAAATTAGCAATGGTAGTTTATCTAAAGTAATGAACTAGTCTTATAATATTGACCCTTACAATAGCTCCTTTGTTCAGCGATAAATATATAAGATGCATTGAGTAACTTCATCTAACAACAAGAAGTGCCATGCATGTTTCCAGCTAATATGTTGCATTTTCAAAGATCCATTTAGTATTCTCTTTGATTTTCCTGGCCTCTGTAAGGAGATCTGCATGTAATTAAGTTAAATAGTTATTTAATAAATACTGTATCATTTTTTCATTTTTTTATATGGCATTTATGATTGTAAAAATAAATATTCCACCACTGTAGATTTCAAGATTAGATAAGGTCATTAACCTGCCTTCTGAAAAGTAGACAACTCGGCAAAATGGGATCTTCCTAAAGAATAGTGAAATGGTTCTAGATGATAACCATAGTAATCATATGTATTAATAAATAATAATTGGCAAAAGAGAAACCATTTATAAGGTGTATTGGCCAACACACACAGTGGCTAAGTTATATCTCTCTTCTGCCACACTATTTTATATACTTTCTTGCCTGTTAATTGGGAGCTCACCTTTAAAATCACCATTTCTGAAGAATTAAGTATGACTTAATAGACATTGTAATCTAGTAGAAAGCATAAAGAGAGAATAAAGAGACTTGCATTCTATTATTTACTCTGAGTTATATATTAAATATGGTCTCTTTAAAAACCTGCCCAACAGATCTGAGTCATAGTATGTTCATCTGACAGATAGAATTGATACTTGCTGTCCTAACAGAGTCTCTATAAAAATAATACTTTTACATATATAGGAAAGTAATTAAAAACTTAAAATCATCTGGTGAGATATAAGTAGTCAATTCAGACTCAGGAGGGAAGCAAGAGTTCTATTTTAGACATGATTTTGATTTTGAGATGCCCATTAGAATATAAGTGCAGTTGTTTTATGATTGGTTGGATAGATGAGTTTAGGGCCCAGTAGATCAAAGCTAAGGATATAATTTTGGAGTAATTAGCAGGTAGTATATAAAGCCATGGAATGGATAAGAATACCTCAGGTAACTTAAACCAGGAAGGAAACTAAAGACTGAGCTCTGGGACATTCCAACATTTAGAGATCAGTGAGAGGAAGAAAATCCATCAAAGGCAACTTAAGAAAGAGCAACAACTAATGGGGGGAGAGAGGAAAAAGAATATTGTATGTTAGAAACCAAATAAGAAAATAATTTAAGAAACAGGACGTGATCTGTTGTGTCAAGGGCTTCTGACAGGTCAAGTAAGATGAAGACTAGAAATTTACCACTGGATTTGGCAGGATGGAGGAATTTGGTAAATCTTGACAGACCTTGCAACAATGGACGAAGCCTGATGGGCGCAAGTAGAGAAAATGGAGAGGTGAGGTAGAGTTATGAGAATAAAGAGTTGTGAGAATAAAAATAAGTAGCAGCTAACAGTTATTGAGCACCTATTATGTGCTAAGCACTGTTCTAAGCAATTTACATGTAAATGATTTAAACCTCACAACAATGTTGTGAAGCAGGAATTAGTTACTATAATTCTTGTTTTGCAGATGGGGAAAACAGAGTACAGAGAGGGGGAC